CCCAAATAATTTATTTCTGAGGAAATTTGATCTCTTCTCTCCACTTCTTGAGTTAGTCAACTCTTCATCATTATTTCTGGGTTTGCATCGGCGTTTGAATGACTTCAGTCATGAGCTCGCTCAGCTTGTTTGCTAGGTTGGTGCTCTACCACTTGAGCGATGACCCCTGTCCTACTTTTTACTGATTTTTCTCTGAGATGAAGTCTCATGGATCTTCTGCTGGGCTGGCTTTGAAGCATAGTCCTTCAGATCTCAGCCTCCTGAGTAGATAGATTCCTGATGCGAGCCATTGGTGCCCAGATATATTTCTGGATCTTTTGTTCCTTAGCTTTTGGGGATCTGGGCTGTTCCCCCTTCTTCCCCCTCCCATACTAGGGCTTGAACTCAGGGCCTTGCATTCTTGCTTGGATTTTTCACTTAAGGTTTACCAGTGGAATCACACAGCTTTTGAGCTTCTGATTCAAGGTGATTTTCCTATCCTTTTGGGTTAACCTAGGAATGTTTTATTGTATTTGGAGTATTTCCCTGTGGTGGTCTTCTGTTCTGCTGACCGAGTTTGTCCCTGTGAAGTTCGTGGCCCAAATCCGCAGTGGCTTTGCGTTTGCTTTTCTCCCTGTAGTTTGAGTTTATGCATTTGTGGTGTCATGGCGCCCTCTCCTTGCAGCCTGGTGAAGTTCAGGCTGCCTGGCAGGGAATGCTGACCCTGAGGGGCCCCTATTCTTGCAGAACTCCGAATCTCCCCTTTCTTCTTTTGTCCACTGACTCTCCGGCCTCTTCTCAGAATGTTCTGTGTTTCCCTTTGAAGTCGCCTTGTGGGCTTCATGATGCCACCCTTCTCTAGCCCGTGTTCTGAGTCACTGGGACTCAGGTCTGGGGTGTTGTGTGAACTCGGCCTCTTGCTGCCATCTGCTTTCTCAGAGTCTGTCCTTGTTGGCAGGCTGGGGACAGGAAGGGCACACACCCTGGGAGGTGGACACACCTAGCGCCGCGGCTTCCATGAGTGCAGCTGGGCCCTGTGCATTTTACTTTCCCTTCGTGCTCTGCGGGGGGCGGGGGGGGGAGGCAGTGGTGGCCAGATAACACTGTGCTCAGCCTCTGCAAAGTGGTGTCTTTCTTCAGCTGTGCACGGGCGTTCTGTATGCTCCTCCAGTACTCTGTGGATGAGCTACACTCCTGTGGTCCAGATGACAGAGATGAGGAGGCACAGAAACCTCACCCAGGGTCAGGCAGTGTGCCCTCCCAGGGTCAGGCAGTGGTGCCCTCCCAGGGTCAGGCAGTGTGCCCTCCCAGGCTGCCAGGGTCAGGCAGTGTGCCCTCCCAGGCTG